TATTGTGATAGCAAAGAATTAGAAACAAAGTAGATGCCCATTGACTGAGGAATGGCTAAAAAAAATGTGGTAAATGAATGTGGTAATGGAATATCACTTACTCTAAGAAATTATATACATGAGGAATACAGAGAATAGAAAAATCTGTATGAAAGAATGCCAAGTGAAGTTAGCTGAGCCAAGATACAATATACAATAACTATACAATAACTATATATACAATATATACAATAACTATAACAATATAAATATAAAGAACAACTGCACCCTAAAAAAATGTAACAATATTATAATAATCAGACATGACTTGAATGAAGAAAAATAAAACATCTTCAATCCATCCCTTTGTGGAGGTGGGAGGTGCACAGGTGTTATACATCACACATGTTTTTGGACTTTTTCACTGTACCGTTAATTTGTATTGATTGGTGCAGTAGATAGAGCTCCAGCCTTGGAGTCAGGAGGACCTGAGTTCAAATTTGGCTTCAGAAGCTTGAAACTTGCTAGCTGTGTGACCCTGGGCAAGTCACTTAACCCCAACTGCCTCACCAAAAAGAAAAAAAAAAGTACATTACAATAGAAAGAATTCTGGATCTACAGTGAGGACAGTCCTGGATTCAAGCCCTGATTCTTCCACTTATTACCTCTGTGACCTTGGGCAAGTAACTTTCATTCTATGGGCTTCAATTTCATCATGTGCACAATCAGGTGGTTGACATAGTTGACCTTGGTCCAGCCCTACTTCTAAGATCTTATAATGTATGATCCTATGAAGAAAGGGGTGGGGCGGGGCATATGCTTGTCCTGTGAGAAGGTGTACTCTGAACTTGGTATGCCCAGTTTCCAACAAGAATTCACCATTCTTCTTAGTCAATAAAGAGAGTGCTTGAGTCATTTGTCTCTTCCATACATGTATAACTTGAGAATGCAATTGAGAATCTTGTAGGGAGATGGCAGGGGCTTACTTAGATTTGATGCCTTTAATTGTTTTGCCATCTCTGATGTCACACACAGGGAGATGCTGGCATTGACCAGAGGATCCCTGGCTAAGGAATAGGGCATGAAATTTTCTAAATATAGAAGATTCTAGAAAAGAGATTCTAGAGCAGAGGCAGCCTACCTCAAGTGAGTGTTATGGATCTCAAAAAGGTCCCCAACTGGGATAGTTTGGGAACTATCAGTCACAGTATGTAAAGTGCTTGGCAGATTTTAAGGGGCTATATAAATGCCATCTTTTATTCATATTTTACCCTAGAAGTGACTAGAGTTTTATAGCCGGAAAACCTTAGAAGTCACCCAATCCAATATTTTCATTTTCCAGGTGAGGAAATTGAACCTCAAAAAAGTTAAATTAAACCCAAGATCACACAATTTATTTAGTGGTGGTAGATTCAGACCTACAACTCAGATTTCCTGATTCCTAGACTTCAAGTGCCAGCTTAAGTATCATATATTTTTCTTTCCCAGTAAATAATTATATAACTGTCAGCAATTATTATTATTATTATTATCCCACCCCCTTTATAGCCAGGCCCTCCTCTGAATTCCTGTAGCAATGATTGTACATGATGCTCATTTGGCACTTAGTAGATGGTGCATAGTATTTGTCTTTTTCTGTATATATAGGATACATAATATGGCTCCAGACATAATGGGAACTTAATGAATGTTTGCTGCTGTTGATGCAGATAGAGAAGAGAGAAGCAGTAAGACATATTACTTCCCCAGTCTGAATCAACAAGCCTTCTGGCCTGGGGTAAGACTGGAGGTCTATACTGTCATCCTTCTCTCTTCTGTACTTACTTCTGGCCATCAGTGGACAGGCCTCTGGCAAGATGAGTAGGAAGCTTTTACATATTTGAAGTCCTTTGCTTCATCTAATTATTAGTATTTATTAACTATTTCTAATCAACTAGTTACGAGACATGAAAATCATGATCCCTTTCTCAAGACCTTCTGCCCAATCACCATCTACGTTCAACTTAGTCAATCAACTTCAAGACTCTTCTATTAGTTCATTGCTATTTAGACTAACTTTACTTTTTTAAAACAAGCATTTATTAAACACCTATTATGTGCCATGCACTGTGACACTTCTAAGTTCAACTATACCGTGCATCATATCTGCAATTACTTTCTGTTGTACATGACTCAATTAAAAGAAAGCACAGAAAGGAGACACCAGACTTAGAAAGGAGTAAAGAGACTGAAAAAAAGACACCAAAAATGATGACATTTTTAAAATGGGCCCCAAAGAAGAAGGAGCATTGGGATTGCAGGTTTTGTCATTGTGCTGTGTGTCATTTGAGGAATAAAGAACACTTGTCTTTGAATCAGATGACCTAGTTCCAGGTCTGACACTTCTTAGCTGTGCGATTTGGGGCAAGTCACTTAAATTCTCTCCATTTGCTAGTCTGTAAAATGGATAGGGTTAATGTTCTGTTAGATTTAGGGCTTGGAGGTAATATAGGGGGAAAAAAAGCTTTCTTTAGAAATGGAGGACAGATGCTCACTTCTACCTAACAGAACATTAACCCCACCCATTAGAGGCTTGAAGTGATGTGATTCTTTCCAGAATCCACTGAAATTAGGTCCAAGTTGCTAAGTGACAGCAGGAAGGACTAAGGTTAACTAAAAAGGAGAATTTTCTCATGTTAACATTTGTGAAGCATTGGAACATATTAACCGTATAAGGATGTGGATTAAATTTCATCTCTATATACTTTCCTGCTCATGGGCTTTTTTTCTCCAACAAAATCATGCCTTCTTTGGCTCTTCTTTGTCATAAACAACTTGAATCCTAGAATAATCAAAGTAATGCTAACATTGAGGGAATGTTCATTCTCCCAGTGTGGATGGAGTCCCAGAGGTCATCTACTTGTATGAACATGTCACAGAAGACAATATTATATATGGACAATATTAAATCTCTAGGAGATTAAGGTAAAGAATAAATAGTTCTGTCTCCTTTATATTTCTATATCTCCCTATAAATCCCACACCACATGGCCTCTCTTCAGGACCAAGACTTATACCAACTGTACTTGTGCATTTGACTTGATACGTAACCTTAGATCTCAAGCTTTCTATAAATTTGGTATAGTCTAAGGCTCAACTAGCCTATTTGATAACATTGGTAAAGTCCAATCAGCATTGATACAGTATTTATTTCATTATACTTTACACTCTCCCCTACTGTTCTAATAAACCCTCCCTATATTCAGGTCTATCACTAAGGCTGACCCATTTCTTTTTTTCTTTTCTTTTTTTTTTTTTAGGCAATTGGGGTTAAGCAACTTGCCCAGGGTCACACAGTTAGTTAAGTGTCAAGTGTTTAGTCTGAGGCTGGAGTAGAACTCAGGCCCTCCTGACTTCAGGGCCAGTGCTCTATTCATTGCGCCACCTAGCTGCCTCCATGACCCTATTTCTAAAACTATCTTTCTACTCCCTCTCTTAATTCCAGGTTGAGATGCCTGAATGATACTAACTAGCAGTTCATTTTGACATACTCAGCAGTCAGGGCAGGTGAGCGGATCAGAGCTTAGACCTAGTCGGGGGCCTTGGTTAACAGCTAGACCTCCCTAGGAGGTATCTAGGTGACTCAGTGGATAGAGTGCTGGGCCACAAAGTCAAGAAGACTCATCTTCAATAAGTTCAAATCTGTCCTCAGACACTTACAAGCTGTGTGTCCCTGGACAAGTCACTTAGCACTGTTTGCCTCAGTTTCCTCATCTGACCTGGAGAAGGAAATGGCAAACCACTCAAGTATCTTTGCCAGGAAAACCCCACATACGGTCACAATGAGGCATTCATGATTGAACAACACAAAACCAAATCCCTAATTCTAAAAATGAGGAGACCGAGAAAGTTTAATAGCTTGTTTTATAATGCTTTAAAGTTTATGAAGTGGCTTACATACATTATCTAATTTGATCCTCATAATCAACTTTTGAATTAGACACTATTATTATTCTCCTCCTATTTTACAGACGAAGAAACCAAGGCCCTGAGAGTTTAATTACTCATTTTTATATAAAGCTTTCAGGTCTTACATTATCTAATTTGAGCCTCACAACAAACCTTCCAAATAGGTACCATTATTATCCCCAATTGACCAATGAAAAACCTGAATGCTAAAGAGATTAAGTGACTTGATTAGTCACAAAGCTAATAAGACAGGATTTGAACAAAGGTTTTCTTGACTTCAAGTCCAGCAACTCTATCCACTATACCACACTGACTTTAAGTGCCCAAAGTCACACAGGTAGTGAACAGATAGATTAGATTCAAACTAGATCGGAGACTTGAGTACCCCCACTCTGATACTACCTATATGACCTGAGATCTGCCCTTCAATTTCTTTCTCTGTAAAATGCGGATTATACTTTCCATTACTTCCCTCTGAAGGTTGTTGTGAAGAAAATGCTCTGCAAACTTTACAGGGCCAGATTCATATGAACTACTGTTCACATATTCGCAGGAAGTTTTTTAATCTTCTCATCTATAATCCCCAATTTTCCGACTACAAATTACAAACTGTGTCTGTAAACGCTGCTCCTGTAGGCACAAAGGGAAAGTGAAAGGGCAAAGGTGTTTGGGTTGGAAGGATGATGGACACAAATGGCAAAGCAGGAGGAATAAAATGAAGCTACCCGCAGCCCCTCTGCTTTCCTACCCGGTAATCAGGAGAAAGGGAACCAGAACAGGAATCGATTTTTATCAGGTCATCACTTTCTACTTGTAGAAGTCAGACGGGGGAGAGACAGCAGAACAAGCTGTTCCTTGCCACTGAAAGCCTGGGGCCAAGAATAATCCTCTCTTATTGAGGAAATAGGGGCTGTCCTGGAGCTAGAAAAACCCTGTACCATCTCCAAGAGGAGGAACCCGGCGCTTAGCTAAGAAACCCTCGCCCGGGACTGCTGAGCTCCAGCTGGGCAAAGAGAAACTGCTCACCCTCAGCAGCCTGGCTCAGAGCGCGCGCCGTGCCAGGGGTGAATGGAACAGTCTCCCCAGGGTTTTTGCGCTTGGGTACCCTATAGTTTGGGAAGCTGCTGCGTGGGATGGGGGAGTGGCTGCTGGAGGAGGCGGCTGCAGGCGCTGGGGCAAAGGCAGACCCGGGGCTCCAAGCATTTGACCTATGTGCTTCCCTCCCCAGCAAGAACCTGGTCACCTCTGCACCAATGGGCTACCAGGGACAGCGGCCTTACAGCAATCTGAAGGTAACCCGGGACCATGTGTGGGAGACACTGATGGGCTGGGCAGCGAAGCCAGTGGTCCTGGAAAGCTTAATCCTCCGACAGAGGTCCAGAGCCTCCTCTGGGTTCTCCACTTAGAACTCTTTCAAGGAACTCACTCCACTTCCCCAAAAAAGTTTTTCTTATGCTTATCTTCCTTCTAACACAGAGAAAATGTCTATTGTCACTCGACAAAGCCACATTTATTGCTTCAATCCATTTGAATTAGGGCTGTTTAACCAGGTGCCAGTCTTGTTTTTGTGGGACACTGTGTAAATAGTCAATTTCAGGAATGGAAGTGGGAATTAATATTTACAAAGTATCCTTCCGCTATAGTTGTTATTACTTTTACCATCATCACACTTGTCTTATTGTCTGTGTCCATCACTGATAATCTTGTCTGACACCTTTCTTTTTTTCCCCTCTTGGGTTTTTATTTAACACCAATGTTGGCTTATTGGACTAGAGAGATCTAGATGACAAAGAATCTCTGGTTTCTGAACATAAACAAAAAGAAAAGGGAAATTGTCGTCAGTCCTCTGCTATTTTTAATGTTGTCAACTCAATCACAGGATCAGGAATAATAGGTAAGTGTATTTTAAAATTCTAATCTAGTCCTAAGCAAACATAGTCATACTTTAAAAGAGAATATCATTTTGAATCTATCATTCAAATTTGATAATTTTAGTTAAATGATGAAATTAGTCATTTTCTTTCTTGAATTTTTTTCATATATATGACTGAATACCAGCATCTTTCATCTCTGGCAAAGTAAGATAAATTCCCTGTTGATGTCCCACCACTAGTGGTTAGTGTTCTCTCCTGGGATATAATAAGATGATAACTCATAGGACTGTTAGGTCCTAACCCTGTTTTTGTAGGAGTTTGAACAGTGAGCTATGGGCTCAAGCTATGATTTTTCCCATTCTGCATTTAACAGCCACCATTTTTGTTATCTTTTCAAGAACAATTATGGGGTTGAAAAATCTCCATAAATTATGAAGTCATGAAGGAAATACTGTCACTTTAAAAGTAAACATTTTAGGAGAAATGGAAAAATGCAGTATTTTAGCACTTTTACAGATATAAAATCATTATGATACTTTAGAAACATAAATTTATGCAGATCATGCTTTGCCCAAAAAAAAGATTCTATTTTTACTGTTTTAAGTTTTATTATAAAATGAAGCTACAATCTGCCCAAGTTTAAAGAACTTGGTATTTCTTTGTTTTTTCTCAGTAAGTGATATGGAGACAAAAGCTTTGTATGAACTAAATAGATTTTTATCCTTACAGTAAAGTAAAGATCATTGTGTTTTCCGAAGTTAATGTCTTTCATAGCATTAGAAAGCATGCATATCAGAAAAGTGCAGAAAAGAAAAAGCACTGACTGAATACAACTTTTATTAGATCAAAAACTGTCCAGTCAGTCATTTTCTGAGCAATAACTGCAATTTTGCTTTGTTCTTATGCTTTTGAATCATCTTCATTTACTTCTGAAAATCGAAAGTTCACTGGTATCATTGGATCCTAGAGATTAGAGCATAGACTGGGAGCTGGAAGAGACCTTAAAGGCTATCAAGTCCAACTTGCTCATTTTACAGATGAGAAAATTGAGCCTAGGGTGTTTAAGCGATTTGCAGATTCACACAGGTAGTAAATGGCAGAGCTGAGGACCTCAGGCTCTCTGACTCCAAAATCCAATGCTCTTTCCATTACACCAGACTGACTGTATAATTTTTTTGTGCTCTTACATATTAACTTATTTCTTTATTTGCTTAGGTTCTCATTTCACCTCTAGTCAAAGTAACAATTATTTGTCAATATTCAGCATCTCCTTTTATTTGTTGTTTCCTTGGTAAGACCAAATTGTTCATTTTTCAGTATCTATAGAACTTTGTTGTACTTCTAGGCTTACTATGTAAATTAGTATTTAGTCAGATGACAAATGGCTAAAAAGTGTATGGAACTACAATGATACCATTGAAACCTACAATATAAAATTAACACAAATGAATATGAAAGGGCTACATGTTTAATCAGTGGAAATATTTGTTTTGTTTTTTTTTTCCCCAGGGTTACCTTACTCAATGCAGCAAGCTGGTCTTCCTTTAGGGATACTGCTTTTATTGTGGGTCTCTTATGTGACAGGTAGGGTACTCTATAACTGATTAACTTTGCATAGTCATTATTATTACTTGAATAGTTCAGAGAATATCTGCATTTGGATTTGGGGGATTATCAGTACATTCCTAAAATTATGTCAGCAATGTTTAAGGACATTTACTTGTATTACTGATCTAAAGGTCTGATTATTAAAGGCAGAGAATTATATTGACCATATTATGTGGGGCAAGTGGTGGGTCTGCTTTTTAAGGTTTGGTTAAAGCATGAAGGATAGAAACTGGAAGTGTGTCTCCTTCACAAAATCATTAACAGGGTATAATGCATTCAGAATTAATGGTCCTGACCACCATCTGTGCAGGAGTTGCTGAAAATGCAGACGCTTAATTAGTAGTTTAGTTTTTTCCCCTCACAATGTGCATGCTGTCCATGAACCTGTCCTGAAGTTCAGCAATTCAGAACTCCCTGATAATTTCAGTTTCCTCTTTCTTTTTTCCTTAAATCGCTTTCATCTATTATCCTTTTGCCCAGTTGCTAGAAAGAGTTCCTCAGATATTTTGAAATTTGAACTTTATAACTCACCCTTATTTCCTCTTCTTACCACAACTTCCAGTGCTACCTTCAAATGTGTACGCAAAATCCAGCAAGCCCACCTCCTAAGATACTCCCAGTTCATCTCTATTTTGCAACTCTTGCTTTGTAGACCAATTTCATTTGTGTGGGATCGGGAACTTGGTGTTTCTTGGGTTTAATCTTAAAAGCTTAACTGAAATGCTGAATGTATTTAGTCTTTCCCATACAATTTCCTAAGGCTATTTCTCTAATAATTTTTAATTTCCGGCTTCCCAGTACATTGTGTTGTCAAGTAATTAATTTCTTCCCAGGTATGTTTACTTATGGGCTTATTTGAGGACATCGAGACATTATGTGCAGAGCAAACACACAGAAACCAAGCAAAGTTCATATTGTTTATAAATTCGGTTCTGTTCGTTCACTTTCTAGAGGACTCAAAATTGCCTCTTAAAATGAATTCAGCCAGTATCACAAGGCTTAGTTCAAACTATTGGCAACTCCACTGAGATGCTGAATGTATTTTTACAGTAATAATTAAGGGAAAGAAAAATGGGTCTTAAAACATTTTCTGATTTTACGTCCTGAGAGGCACTTAGAGTCGCAAGGCCTGGGGTTTAATTCTCACTTCTGCCATTTACTGTGTAGTTACAGAATCATAGAACTTTAGAACTGAAAGTAGTTATATACATCTCGTTCAAGTCCCTTGACCTGTTCAAAGCCACATAGCTATCAAGGGACAAAAGACATATGCATTCTGACTCCAAGTCCATTACTACTCTTTCTATTTACTATATACTCATCTTAGAAGAGTCCCTTAGGCTTTTTGAGCCTAAGGATTCCTCATCTGTAAAAGGAGAATAATGATCCTTCTACTACCTCTCTGTAAGTTTCTTGTTAGGGAAATGGTTTATAAATTTTAAGTGCTATACAGATACCAATTATTATTATTGTTGTGCACTCTGGCCAATTTTTTTCCAATATAAGATTAAGGAGAGGAGGAGCAAAGCATAATAGATAGAAGGACAACCTTGGAGACAGAAAGTCCTAGCCTAGATCCAAATATAGTGTCTGGCACATGCTGGGTGTGTGACTGTGTGCAAGCTACTAACCTTCTCAATCCCTGTAATCAATGTTCTAATACTATAACATATAGGTGAATTCCTAATCTGCATTTGTGGAACTGGAGTATGTTTCAGTATGGGGGTTTGCTATGCTACTGAATTAAAAGATCCATACCCCGCCCCCCAATAATCGTAATAAGATTATGTTCTAAGGGTACAATACAAACCCTTAGAAAATATTTGAGGGGTAAAGGAAAAAGATAAACACAAAAATAAAAGGAAACAGGATTTTGGATCATCCTTGCATTCCATAGAGTAACAGAATTACAGAGTAATTACAGAATTACAGGTCATCAGTCAGACTTTGATGACTCAGAGGTCATCAAATACAAACCATAGCTCTTCAATCCTAATCCCACCCCCCACAACAGCCTCAGGAAGTATCCATTCAGACTGAGATTGGGGATGAGGAAATATTTACCTCCTGAGGCAACTTATTCCATATTTGAGCAGCTCTCTACAACATTTACCTATCGTGCTCCTATTTCTGCCCTTTGTGACCAAGCTAAACAAGTCTAGCCCTCTTCCCCATGACAGCTTCTTAAGTATGCTTCATTATTTCTTAAATTTCCTTAGTCTAAGTATTCCAAATTGTTTCAATTGATCCATATATGTCATGGTTTCCATTCCCCAAACATCTTAGTAACTTACTTCTGGGATATGCTCCAGCTTCCTTCTTAAAATATGGTGCACATGACTATCCACAATACATTAAATAAAGTCTGAATAGGGTGAAATACAGGAGGCCTGTCAACTTATTTTTTCTGGGCAATACATTCTGTAAATATATCCCAATATCACTGATTTTTTTTAATGTTTGGTCACAAGATTGACATATTTAATATGCAGTCTACTAAGAACTCTTTAATAGCTACCATTTACAAAGTATTTTAAGGTTTGTCCTGCATTTTATAAGTAGTGCAGCCTTTTCTTCTCACAACAACCCCAGGAAGTAGATACTATTATCATCCCCATTTTGCAGATGAGGAAATTGAGCCAGACAGATACTAAGTGACTTACTCAGGGTCACATAGACTGGATTTGAACTCACTAACTCCAGGCCCAGTTCTCTATCTATTGCATCACCTAGCTGACTCTAGCTACATCTCTCACCTACTGCATTTGTGCAGCTGATATTTTAAAACCCCTCAAATCTAAGACTTTACTTTTCGCATTGTCATCTAATGGATTCAACCCATAAAACTACCCACTGAGATATTTTTATATCTCAATCCTGTTATATATTATATTAGCTTTACCTTTCAGTTTCTTATTACCCAAATATTTGATAAGCACACCATCTATGTTTCCATCCAAGTGATTGATATGAATGTTAAACAGACTACAACCAAGGATGGAGTCCTTTGGCACGTCCTAGGACAAGAGTGGAGAACCTGCGGCCTTGAGGCCACATGTAGCCCTCTAGGTCATCAAGTGTTGTTCCATGAAGTTTGGATTCAGTCAAAGGACTGCACTTAAGGACCTGGAGAGCCACAGGTTCCCCAACCTTGTTGGGAAAATCCCTTCCATGTTCACATTAATCCAGTGATCATCATTCTCTGTGTCCAGTCATTACTTAGTTCTAAATCCACTTAAATGTATTACCATCAATTTCATGTCATTTCATCATGTACATACAAGGATATCATGACAGACTTTAATTACTTACTGCCTGAAATCCAGATACTCTTGGATCTATGCTTAGTTTGCCACGACATTAATAAACTAATGCCGACACATTAGTTACTGCTTCTATTTCTAAATGATAGCAAACTATTGCTCCAGTTATATGTCCTAATCTGGGAACCTCAAGTCCCATTGATCCACAGTTTGAAGGAAACACCTTCCTCTTTTCAGGTAACTGGAACCATCTTTACTTGTTTCCTTTTTGGCAGCACTTCTTCCATTCTCCACCTCTTCCCAAATAACATTGTCAGAAAGTGGCTTAGTAGTCATATCCACAGCTTCTTTCCATAACCTAGCATTCATTTGGTACGAATCTGGTGTCTTTAAATCATCAAAGGCTGTTAAAAATCTCTTGCCATATCCTTACTCAACTTGGGTTTCTATTCCCTGTTGACTACTTTTGTTTGTATTTCATAAACTAAAAATCATCCTTCTTGGTAGAGAGAACAGAAGTAAAAATAGAAGTTAAACTCTGTCATGAAAAAAATTTAACACAAGGGTAAACTGAGGCAATTTTCCCAGCACGATAACATTTATTAAGAGGGGCCATGCTGCCTGTCAGTAAGGCACCCCTTGTCAGTAAAGGGGTGAATGAATTGCCTCCATTTATGCCAAAGATCTCAGGCCAGAGGACAGTTCCTCTTTTATAAGTTTCGGTGAATACAGAACAAAGAATAGAACAGGGTAGATGACATCATGGGATTGGGGACAACATGATTGGTTACAAAGCTGAGGCTCAGGGAACAACATGATTAATTGGAAGTTTGGTAATGGGAGATAGTCACGACTACCTTTCTTTCATGACACTAAGAAGTGCTCATTGTTGGAGTCCAGGTGCAAGGTCAAAAGATAACAGATCAGCCCTTTTTGGACAGCAAACCAGACATCCCTGAAGCATGGCTTGATGGTATAAAGATACATGCATCCCCCAAGGTGACCTAATTTCCTTGAGACAAGAAAAGATCAGTGATTAGCAGGACAGCTGGATTTCTAAACTTAATCCATTACACACCAGGTGAATTCTGAACCAAATTCAGATTCAGAGTCATGACTTAAGCAGTTATACGACAAAAACAATTCATTGTAAATAGGATTAATAAGAAAATAATACAGAATCAATCTTAATCTTCTCAGTACTTCTGTCTCCTCTCCATAATATATTATCATTGTTCCATTAATTCAAATAGTGCTCCCACTATCCTTTCTTTAATTTTTCTTTTGTGTCTAATATAGCTTTAAAAATTCTTTGGTTGACCTTAGCATTCACTCAAGGTCTCAAGTTGTTCTGAAATTTAGCATTCCTAACAGTCTCAAAGGATCAAGCTACTCTTTGTGGTCAAACTTATTTACTTATTCTTGTTTCCAGTTTCTGTACTCGTATTTTAAAAGCCAGAGGTGGTCATTGAATTCTCTGAGTAGCCAGACCAATCTCTTTAAAATGTTGTCCTCTTTTCTTCCTCATTAGAATTATTTGTGTTTGTATTTGAGAACATAACATCCCTTTCAAGCCAACATCATCTGCACCAGAAGGATTCCATCTTCTACCATAAGATTCTATCTTTCCATTATACGTATAGATAGATAGATAGATAGATAGATAGATAGATAGATAGATAGATA